GATCCGCGCCTGACCTCTCTCTTAAGGTCCATTTAAATAAACTGACTATAACAAAAATATTGACAAAGTTGGACAAAAAAATTAGATCCCTTTGATATAAATCCAAAAATATAATCCCTTTTTATAAATCAGTCTGAAGAATTTTAGAACTCTTTTGGTAATATTAGTTATTGAACCATTTTTCCTACAAATGTAATTAACTTTGACGACAATTTCTCAGCTAAAATAGAAGTGAACGAATGAGTAAAAACAAACATGGCCCTGTGAGCTACCACACAGAAATCTTAATTCCTAAATATGGGCAGGCGGATAAAGTGAAACTGCTAACCCCAAACCATGGTTTGCCATTTGCGATAAGATGGCCAAACCTTAATCTTAAGGTCTCTACTAAAAAAAAAACTAACCTGGAAGGCAAGTGTGTCATATCCATCAAATCTAAAAGCTGCCAGCAGCTCATTGTTGAAAATCGTGTACAAAAAAAGTACAGGTATGCAGTTAACGCAATTTGTGTGAAGCACAGTCAGAGTACAGAAACCTTTCTCTACTCCAGTCTTTTGAATGTACGTCAAGTAAAATGACTGACAAACAACACTTGCGAGAGCATAAATGTAGGCTAATGCAGAGAATTCCAGATCCCCAAAGCCTAATAACAAAAAAAGAATAAATAATTATAGCAGGATTGATTCAGTCAGTAGAGCGCTAGAGTGTCAGCCGCATGCCACACAGATCTCTCAGGGCTTCGTCAAGCATTCCTGCATTCCTAGGGCAGGATTATGTGATGAAGCACTAAGAACATCTGAGTGGGAGGGCACTGGCTTGCAAGGAGGGAGTTCACGGGTTCAGTCCACCAGGCCCCAGTTGTTCAAAAGCTGGATAGCGCTATCCACAGGATAAATCACAATCCAACGGATAAGTATTAGGGAAACCAATAATATTGCGCCATACAGAGGATAGTTATTTATCCGGTGGATAGGGTTATCCACCTTTTGAACAACTGGGGCCAGGCCTTTGCCCTACAAATGGCTTGACCTTTGCATGGGTTAGATATGTTACTGGTCAAAATTATATTGCGTTAAAATTTTTTAACCTAAGTTGATTTCAATTTCCTTTGTCTCCAGACAAAGGAAATTGAGAATCAACCTGGGTTAACAAATTTTAACCTGAATTTAATTTTGATCCGTAACAGATACACAGAAAAGGCAGTTTTCTCTCAATATCAACACGTATTTCCTTATAACAACAAGTTTTTGTTGAGAACCAGTTCTCAGGATAATTAACCTTGGAGGCATTTGAAAATCTGGTCCCAGGTTAAAAAGTTTCAATTGAGGTGTCTGGGTTACTGACTACCTACCCCTCCCCTCAGTCATAATTTTGCCTTAAGTGAGAAGTAAGTGTTAATGTTGACTTAAGGGAGGGGTAGGTGGTCAGTTACTGAAAACCTCAACTGATCCGAACCTTTGTTAAAAATTACAAACCATGAAAATGTACCTGCAATAATACAGCCTAAAACAACAAGAACAACAGCAGTGACAACCATTATGGAAGGTTTCTTCTTTAGCATACAACAGGCAAAGAGCAGGCTTGACAAAGGAAGAAGTCTTCTCAAGACATTATACCTGAAAATTTGAGCATTATCAATTTTGAGTCGCTATCTTGCAATGATCCTGCATGCAGATATCTCTGTATTTCCTTTGCTTCAAAGGAATTAGGAGACAGGTTCTCTTGCAATTGACAGAACAAAACCATTTCAGTTCAGGGGGTGAGGAGGGTGGGTGCTCATTCAGACCTTAAGAGACTGTGACCACAAACTAAGCTTGAAATCTTGAATTCCAAATTTTGCTTGCAATATTGGACCCTGTGTACCAGAGAATTGTCAATTTCCAATGTTGGAAGATTTGTTTTCCTTCAGCCAACCCCAAAGTATTTTGTCACATGTGGGAAAAAAACCTACAGGACTTATGTTAGGTCCACTGAGCACAAAAAAATTACTTATGCAGCGGGAAAATACGCTTTTTCCGACAACCAAAACCAAAAATAGTCCCTCATTTTTGCCAGGGATAATTGAGTGGGTAAAATTCATGAGTGTGCATGAAAATAACCTCCTTTGGAGAAGGTGACAAATGCATGGGAAAAAAATTTAAATGAGAACAGGTGAAAGTTGCTACCTAAGCTGGGGCCTGTTTCTTGAAAGTCCTGGTAACTGTTTGGGTCCCGGAAGCTGTTTTGCATTTGCCATCTTTGCATTCAACATATTCCAAGTTTTAAAATTTTGAAAATGATATAATGAATTACTATCAGTTAACAAAGCAAAATTAACTAGTTTGTGCACTAGGAACTGTGCTGATATTCAAGATGTTGTGATTTTAAAATTTGCCCCCTGAAAAGTTTCTGGGCCTTTTGAGAAACAGGCCCCTGGGCAGAGAGTGAGACATGGCTCAACAATAACTCGCAAGAAGTTGCTTGATGCACAGTATAATACATAAAATTAAACTATAAATTGTTTGAAAATAATTATTATTTTGATACATACATAGGTATAGATAAATCATCAAGGGCTCTTAAAGCCAAAGTGGTATGAAGGGCAAAACATATTGAAGGGATAAAAAACATTCTTCCTCTGTTGAAAAAAAAGTACATAAATTAACACAAATTTAAACCAAACTTGATTACTAATGCTAAATAATTCTGATCGATTATCATTGCTGTTACATTTCATAGCCACTATATCTCAGAAGTTAAAGTCATTTATTAACCCTTCCCGTTACCATAAATTTGACATAATTGTTTTTTTGAAAGGCCCAGGCACTTAACACATAAAGTTTTATCTAAAAGAGGGGGTAGGGGTGGGAATGGGGGTGGAGATGTGGGGTGGAGACACTTAGTCAGAGGGGATGCTTTTATCAAGGGAGGTGTCATTCGTTAATGTTTTCCTTCAATGAATGGAAACTATAAATATTTGGAAGATAATGCCAATATAAAAGAGCCTCCTTCACACCTGCTCGGGTCAAGAGTCACAATGCTCCCAGTACCCACGCAACTGGTTCAATTCGACATACATTCCTTTTCCAGAGAACAGCCAATCAAAGTGCAACTTTCATTTTCATGCAGAAAATAGCAGCTGTGTGGTGATGGGGAGTATTGCATGACTCTGGCTTGAGCAGCTGTGAAGGAGACTAATATGAAGAGAATTAAACCCTCAGTGGGGCACTCTCTTCTTTGGAGTGCAAACAGCAAGAAAAGCCCGAAAGTGGCCTCATTAGTACACCACCACCCAAAAATGTATACCGGTAACCTCCCCCTTTCACTGGGCAAAGCAGTACCTTTCCAATGTGTATTTTAGCATGCTAGAAAATCCCAGTAGCCTTCCTCCTTCAAGAATGACAGATGTGACGACAACTTGTGCCAACATCATAACATTAGGAAAGTGGTAAGAATATGAGGTGAGAACAATCTGAGGAACATACAAATGTTTTAAAAAAAAGTTAACACAAATTTATCAGTACGGTGCTAAAAGGTGTTAACGGGGTCAACCCTCCAGCACAAAATAACACTTTTTTGCAGTTGTAACCCCATTATAAAATTTAAGTAATAAAATAAAATTTATCATATATAAAGGAAGATAAAAACACAGAGCAAGCCTCAAGGCCCCAAACTAATAACCATTGTTGCTTGTGGTTTAGTTTTCTCATGCCTGATTGGCTTTTTCCTTGGAACAGAATATTACATTCCAGAAGTATTACTGGGGTTCACAGTATTCTGAGTTTCACAGTTTTTGGTAGACTTTCTCAAAGTCGTTCGCTTGGTTTTCTGGTCTGGTGTGGTAGCTCATCAGTATGGAATTTCTGTCGCTGAGTCGCAGACGTTCACCTCGCGAAACGTCCCCTGGCAGCGGCGAAGAGCGAGGAGAAACAGATGTTTTCGCAGGCTATAAGCATCCTAGCTAGTGCACACTGAATCATGCCAAAAAAAGGCTTTACCCCTCAAACACAATTTTAACTATCGAGAAAAATGTTTTCTAGTTTTGCTTCTTTTAATTTACTTAAGCTTATATAGAACTAATTAGAATTCAAGCTTTCATTTGCATGTAATAAAGGACTGTGAGGGTTGTGCTAGTTATTAATATGCGATCGTGGTTAATACAGGTCTCTCTTAGTAGCTTACCTTATTTACAAAGGACATTGATCCAGAAACTAGTCCATAGAACAACGCCGCCAAAATTCCCGGACCAAAAGCTTTGGTGAAGTAAAGATCTTCGAATGCGGCGGCCAAGTCGTAAAATATTCGCCGGCGTTTGCTATTTCGCGGGACAGTCATCACCTAAACCGTTCAAAAAAACACTTGTGTGTACCTTGTTTGAATATGAAAGTTGCTCTTCTTTTCATGCCTTGTTCTGTGAAAGATTCATGCCGGCATGCGGATTTTTCTAGAAACAGAACGTGGCCGGATGTCTTGGAACACAGCATGAAAATAGCGCTATTGGAACCGAGGATCGCTAGGAACTGAGTACGAACGGAGTAGCCATGACAACGATTAGTGTCGGTCAAACACGTCTGCTTCTTTTCTTTCTAAAAATTTGCAAAATGAAAAGGAATATAAACTTGCGCACTGGCTTGCCTCTTAATTTTTCTTAATTTTGCTGAAACAGCTGGAAACATGCTATGATTTAAAAATTTATAAGATTTGAAAATAAAAATCCGAACGTCCGTAATAATAAAACGCAAAAATTATGTTTTCAATTCAACCCGAAATAAACCTTCCAGTATACCAAAAATTATACTAAAACTTGTGTAAAATACAAAAATTAAGAAAACCACGGTATACTTTATACCCCAAATTAGTTGTGAGTGAATACTTTATACCCAAATTTACACATAAAATACTGTATACCTGAAATTAAATACCGCAGTATACTGTATACCCCCAAACCCTGGCCGACTATGTCAGGTTTAAGTTAGAAGACCAGCAACAGACAGAGAACGTATCCTATGAGGGGTGATAAAACGAAACATTTATGACACGACTTCCAGTGAACAAGACCGCGCGATATGAAGGACCTCCTTAGACTACGAGTAGTCCCCCATTTTTCCGCAGGGATAGTAGAGCGAGCGAAACGCGAGCGCGCGTGAAAATCTCCCCACGCGAGAAAAGGCGACACGCGTGGGCTGATTTTCATGCGCGCTCGCGTTTCGCTTGCTTTACTATCCTTGAGGAAAAATGGGGGACTACTCGTAGTCTAAGACTTCCTGCACTTGCAGGAATATTGCAGGTCGTCAAGACGTCACAAGTTACTTCCGTACAGGTTGTCAAAATGAAAGTTACTACGATAGCCTGCACGGAACAGTGGTTATTTTTTTCGCTTTTTTTTAGGGCGAGTGGAGGCAAAAGAGAGGCGAGCATGTTGCCCAAGACACACCCGACAGGGGAAAACACGAACATATGATCACTGCCTGTACGTGAACGCTCACTAATGTTCGTCTTCTTCACGCCGGAAAGCTACAAGCCAGTGTTATTTTTCTGTCTTTATTTTTTTGCATTTCATTTTAGTTTCCTTGGAACCCAATTATCCTCAAAAGAATTTCCTCATTAAAGTTGGAGAGGTTTCCAACTTAGTAAGATCATTTGCATGATCCGGCCTTTCTAACCATGCAGTACTATTGAAGTTTTTGGAAAGGCTAAATGTCTTCATGCATGGAAAACTTTAAAACACAAACCAATTTTCTGATTTTCATTAGGATCATCAACGATCGATGCTTAAACCTAAAACAGCGTACTTTATATAACTGCTAGCACAATTGACTCTTACTTTGATGAAACAATTTTTATCTCAAGTTTGAACGCGCATGCTTTCCTGCGCAAGTTTCATAAAAATGCCACATAATACTCTGACCGGCCCCAAGTTAGGTTTTGAAACCTCAATACGATGTTAATTAGCTTTCACTTGCCGTTTTAAAGGTGTGTTAGACACCGAAAAGACCATCAACCTAAATATCAGGTTAAACATTGCTGGACAATTTACTTAAATAAACTGATCAAACGTCCAAGAGGAACTTACCGTCCGTTTTGCGCTTGAAAATAATGACTTTTTAGCTTTTGAATCCCTTTTGTTAATGCTCGATAACACTCAATCTGCAAATGTCCGGTACTGGTAAATATAAATGAATAGGAATTTGAGGCGTTTGAAAGTTGTAATGGTGCTCATCTTCTTTGAATATTGTTCAACATCCTCCCTTTCACAGATATAAATCAACCAATATTAACCAGTTTGTTTAAATATAAGATGTAACTGTGTTTTTATTTACACTGCAGTTTAACGTGGCCGAAATTGTAAACTCCTATCACCGGTTGTCAATTATTCCCTTTTGCTGTGGCATTTCATTGGTTTAAAATCACCAGGGGTAACAAATTTGTCGCTGGAAATTTGCGCACGGATCTCCCTGATCTACGGCAGACTTACCCTGGTCCCCAGAGGTTCTTTCTCTGGTTCCCAGTTCCTCTCCTGGTCCAAGAGGTCTTTGTTATTTCTATTTCTACCATCATCATCATCATCATCATCATCATAATTATTATTATATTTAATTATTATTATTATTATTATTATTATTAGGAGCCGATTTACATTTAATATTTGCATGCGCATATAAATATTTACATTTTTGAATGTTTCTCTCATTCAAATTCAATGACCTAAAATTTTTATGTTGTCAAAAAGCTTCCTAGCTGGCAGCTTTCGTTATTTTTATGATTTCATTTCTTTCATTCATTCGTCCGCCATTCAAATTTCAGAGATATTCCTAGAGGGGGATGAAAACAATGTCAATTGGATCAAACCCTATCACGACGGCGCGAAACTGTCCCTGGTCATTGCCCATTTCAAATTTCCTCCTGTACGGCTGTAAATTTGTTTTATTGGAGGGAGTGTCTTTAAACGGGTGCTTTCTTAGAGGAAAATGGATCTCACTAAAGTCCTCGAAGCCACTGTTTCTCCAGGTAAAGTTGCTGTATGATTTGACTGATCGGTTGTGACAGGGAAAATTTGTGCGGAGTAAAGCACATGGTCGTCATTGCATGATATGTTTCAAATTTCGCTTACATTTGAATGTTAATATTGATGTTTATTAAATCGTGTAGATCAAAATGAACTTCAAAGCGCTCAACGTTATCTGGAAGAAGCTGCCCAAGGAAATTTGGTAAGAATAGTTAGGCTTAGGTAGCCGTTTAACAGTGGAAAGCTTTCGGTTAATTTTGCGCGCCACCCGGTAGTGGAAGTTAGTGAAGTTTTACGTTCCATTCACTTGCTAAACAATGTACAAGTTTTACCAACGGAATTTGTACTTTTCATGGCCTTTAAATTGAAATTTACCCGTTGTCTCATGCGTTTCTTTCGTTTCGACAGCCTCAGTTTTTAGCGGCGTTAGTGAACGAATTAGCTGATGGGGGCAAGTCTCAAGTTGCACGAATGGCTGCGGGGTTACAGCTTAAAAATCAGCTCACATCGAAAGATCCCACTGTTCGAATGCAGTACCAACAACGATGGATCTCCCTATCTGACGAATTAAAAAATCACGTTAAAACAAGGGTAAGAGACAAAATGTGGCTCGTATTGTTGATATTTTGCGAAGTTTTAAAATAAAACAATTGGTTTCTTGCAGGTTATTCAAACACTAGGAACAGAGAAAGCAAGGCCCGCCATTGCTCCTCAGGTAATCACAAGTTTCCGTTTAGTAGGATCATTACTGTACGAAACTAAACGAAAAACTACCTTTCCTCTCCAAAGTTTTTAAGGACTTGGGAAGTTGTTTTTAATGGTGGTGTTTTTAGATCTTTTGGATACCAGCACTCGTTCTCTAGGGTACATCAGCTTACGAGAAAACCTTTAAAAATAAGCTTTTCTGCCCGTGAACTAGGGATCCACGACTTAGGTGTAATTTACACTGTATTAGAGCTTTCAAGGGTGAAGGCGTGCATTTCAGAAGTATTATTTGCAGTAATACCCGTCTGCAAGTTCCTGCTGGAGTTATAGTTCTTACAAGTGCTAGATTGGATCAAGGCACGAAGAGAAGAAAAAGTAAAATGACCCAGCTCATTACACAGTCTCTTAGCTAAGGAGAACAAAATGTGAATTTGCATTAATTTAACACTGCTGTCAACAATTGCACTTCATAGTTAATATAGCTGAAACAGGGAACAGTGCGAACAGGTGTGTGCGCATTTGTTGGACTTTAAACCTGTGGGTCAGTGGATCCCTTAATGCTCTGCCACTGCTTCATAAGTACTACCCGATTAACTAGTGGTCATAACTGAGCCCACTGTACCAAGCGTACAGCTACTAGGCCTGGGTTCAAAAACTGTTTTCAAGTAACATGGTTCGCATGCTCAACGAAGATCTTGCTTGATTCATGCAGAAATATATTTTGAGTATGCCAAAATTGGGCAAGGGAAAGAAAGGCTTTTGGTGGAGGGTGGAACCTGCCAGTCTCATAATGTGTACACATACCCAACTGTGAAAATTCTTTGCATCTATTATTGGCTATGGAGTGCCTACACCCCTGATTTGAAAGGTCTTATTTCAGTGTTCTCCTTATCATGTAGTAACTGTTAACATTTTCTGCCTGAAGCAACACTTCTTATGGCCTGCAACTGCTTGAAGGTTTACTAAAATTAAACAAGTAGCTTTAAAAAAGACGCAAGTTGTGATCTGATCCAATCAAGGAAATGAATGAATGTATGGAAAAGTACTAAAGTATACACAGCTTTTCTATTTTTATGGGCCATGCACTTTGAAAAGAGAACATTCAAGGCAGAGTGAAATTATTGAAATGAAACATTTTAAATTGTTGTTTAAAGAGAACAACGGCCAATTTGCATAAAATAGGTCTCAAAATGAGGGAATGACATTTCAGAGAACACAGCTCCTAAATTTCCCAGTGAGGGCAGGGCTATGTCTCTCACCCCCCCAGGAAAGTGTGCTTTTGGCGTATATTTTCTGCCTTACCAGTCATGATTGATCCCTTACCTACCGAGCTAAATTTTCAGTGAGAACGCTCCTTTTTTATGAAATAATTTATTTTATCTTGTTTCATGTTTTTTGCAAAAAGTGTATAGCGGCTATTGCTTGTGCTGAGATACCTAACAGACAGTGGTTGGAAGTGGTTGATATTCTACAAAACATCGCAGTGCAACCGACCAGCGCAGATTCACTAAGAGAGCAAGCACTGGAAGCAATTGGCTATCTCTGTCAAGATATTGTGAGTACCTTATTCATTAACTGTCAGCCCTTTAAACCCTTGTTGTTGATTAATAGAGTATTACAGGAAAGGAGTGATGTGGAAATTTTTAGGAAGGCCTCTCATCAGAATTTTACTCTACGTGGCACTGTATCAGTGATTAATTATTACCAAAAACTTTTCTTGCATTCTGAAGTTAATGCTGAGCTTGTCACATTATTGTTTTAAAAAGACCGATACTGACACATTTTATACATTGTAAATAGATGATGAAAATGTGCATTGTAACTTTCTAATCTTTTCACTTATTTTTAATATCTATAGGTTATTTGTAAATGATGATGTGAATTTTTGTCCTTAGATGATAAAAGGTCATTTTCACATCATGTTACACTGGCCATGTTAGTGTACAAAACATTTAAACAGCGGCCATGTTGGTACTGTACCAAAACTATCCTGTGGAGATTGAACTCTTCTCATGCAAATTCTTTTTGGTTCCAAGAAATTTGCTTAGCCACTACATGATCACATGAATGAAAACAATCTTTTAAAGACATAGTCATCATCATTATTAGTTATTGTTATAGTTATTGGCATCATCATCATCGTCCAGAGTTTGTACGCTTCTTGACAGTTCTTGAAAATTGCAGTCTTTGCCGGAAAGTCCTTGAATTTTGGTGCTAATGTTATCCAAACCAAAGGAAAAGGAGCAACCACAGAAGTACGTTCAGGATAAAATTGCTCATGTTGTGGAAGAACTAACAAAGACATAGACTCAAGGTTCTTTTTTCCACTGAATGTAGTCTTTGAAAAATGGGAAATGTGTCCTTGAAAGTCCTTATAGTCCGTGAATGTTTTGTTTTAAAAAGGGTACGAACGCTGGTTGTCGTTGTCATCATCATCATCATTATCATCATTATTATTTACCTTTTAACATGTTTCCTTCCATGACACTAACAAGTAAGGAGGAGGTCACTGAAGAGACAAAAATGTTAAAAAACAATGAAACATTTTAATTTCTCCTTTATCTTGGACTTGCATGTAGATTATACCCTTAAGCTGTAGCTTAAATTGAAAATCTCAAGTGAAAACAGCAATTAAGTTAAATTTACAATGTCTTCGGGAATTACAGTGTGACTACTGTAACTGTGGCTATCTAGAAAAAGTTGACCAGAAGTATTACAGGAAGATAACAATACATTCATAGAAAATTTGTTGCTGGCCAAATAGCAGCTTCTAAAAAAACAATAAGTTACTTGATGCAAAAAAATTAAATATTGATTGCAAACGTTTATCAGGAAAGCAAAATGTTTCAGCATACAATGTTTTTCTATTCTAAACTTTGCGTACAACACCCATGAGACATTTTTTTATCATTACCAGTAATTTCTTTGGTAATATTGCCGTGCTTTACAATAACGTGTGAACTCAAGTCAAAAATATAACTTTCCGTCACCCACTCTAACGGACCTCTCAGAAAACACGTACTTTCTTCAGCGGGTTCAAAAGGTCTCGTCTGTATGTTGTAATTGGTTGATTTTGATCCATGTTGTGTGTTTCGTTTTGTGGTAAGTATGACTGACAACCAACATTCTCGGAATGTATTATTATTTTCCTGTAATCCAATTGGTCAATTTTGTCTAGGTTGCCCCAACTGAGTAGTTGCACTGTAAGTGCTTTAATGGGCTTTCAGCAGCTTGACATTATGTTGAAATGCTGATGTTTGTGGAGTGTTCTGATTGTCGTTCTTTCCCTTTTGAACTGTTTTCTTTAGGAACCAGAACACCTAGTTGATCAGTCACATAAAATTTTGACAGCAATTGTGTCAGGAATGAAAAATGAAGAGCCAAAGTAAGTCTAGAAAATTTTGTTATTTTAATTGTTGGGCAGCATTAGGTAACCTTCTCTATAAAATATATACCAGTAACTTGAAATGATCTGGGTCCTTGTAAAGTACGTGGGTTAAACACTTTTGCTTCAGTAGGCGAAAAAAAAAAAAGAACAAACAAATGCACAAACACTGCTCTTAATTATTATGTATTGGGGAAAACCAAAGATTAATTTGTTTTATTATATAGACACGAGTGTTTCACTGGAAAATATACCACTTGTAACATTCATAAAAACTACATCCGGGACCTGAGTGGTTTATTTTCCATAATCTCACACGTGAGTTTATCGATGACGTAATTTCGGTCATTTCCCTCTATTATTTTATCGATGTCTTTTTGTCTATATAATGAAAAGAACATTACACGGCGGCTTAAAGATATGAATTTTATTTTCTTGTGGCAAAAACAATATTTTACTCACTCGCTGCGCTCGTTCGTAAAATATTGTTTTGCCACTCGAAAATAAAATTCATATCTTCGCGCCACTGTGTAATATCCTCTATATAATGAACTTGGTTTAACTTTTATGTACAATTTTTGCTCTCAGCCTCCAGATCAGAATAGCAGCCACCAATGCTCTTTTAAACTCCCTGGAATTTTCAAAGCAGAATTTTGAAAGAGAGGTAATTTGGCTTTTTGTTTTCTTCTACTTTATTGTTATCTTGTTTAACTTTTCCATTTTCTGTTTTAATTATCTTTCAGGGAGAACGTAATTTCATCATGCAGGTAGTTTGTCAAGCAAGTGTAGCAGAGGATACCCAGGTAATTTTTTTGGTCATATTTGAGACAATAATTGTTCTTGAGTGCTTGCCATTTCTATGGAAATTTTGGTGAAGATTATCTGACAAAAGGTACTGTTTTTACAAATTTTTAGTCATGCCAGGTCAGTGATTATGTAACCAGACAGTTAATCTGAAGACAGACTCCAAAACTCTGTATTACAGTACTTTGAAATTAAAATATAATACCTTATTTTAAAGCATGACAAAGACTAAAAGAAATATGCATTGTCAAACAACAACCATAATAACTGCCACAGAAATTACACAAACAGGTGGTTATTTCTACAAATACACGTTCAGATCAATTGATCGATCTTTGCGTCCTGCGGGCCCCCCATGCCATAAATTATTTTGCTTCTTTGGGGATTTTTATGTGTGAGGGACGCAGGACATAGAGGTAACAAAATCACTGCCAGTTCAGACTTAGCAAATAATGCTTTAGCTCAAGTCTGTAGAAGTCTAATGTGTAAAATCTTGCTTCTTCACATATACCACTTTATAAAATAACTAAGATAGTACGCGCGTTCGGATTGGTTAAAAACCTATGGTTTATTGTGCCGGTAAACTCATAGAAAAGTTGAAGTTATTTTATAAAAGCAATTGACCACACTATCCATGGGTTTACCGGCATGATAACCCACTTGAGATGTTGGGAGAACACTCGAAAAGCTTGTAAATCACTCGCCTTCGGCTCGAGGAACATATTTTTAATTATAGGCTTTTTAAGTGTGGCATTTTTATGTCAAATAGATGGAGGGGCATATTTTCAGAATTTTATGATATGTGCTACTTTCTGGGTTTTTCTGACCATTAGAACACATATTGATTTGTTCATGTCCAACTCATCTTTCTCTGGGCTAACTTTTTTGATTTTTCTCACTTTTTTGTAGCTGAAGGTTGCAGGATTGCAAAATATTGTGAAGATAATGTCTTTGTATTACCAGCATATGAAGGCGTATATGGGTAATGCATTGTTTCCAGTAAGTTTTTGTTAATTCCCACGTTAGAAAGTGTTTTTTCTAGAAAATAGGCTGTTTTCGAGTTTCCCCAATTAAAGCCTCTGTTTTAAAGCGAGGCTAATTGTGCAGCCATGGATATGAGAATCATTTCTCATTTTCATGCAAATAAGACCCTGTTTACCAGGAGGAAGGGTAACCCTGATGCTAGGGTTACCCTAGCAAGAGGCTTTACCCTGGCACACACACATTTCTTGTTTTTTTAAACATGTTTACAAAGCAGTAGGGTTACCCTAACGCTAGTGTAACTGTACCTACCTTGTAAATGCTCTGCTAGGAATAACTCGCCTAGCCAGGAGAACTTTCCTCTGTCATGCATGACCATTAATCTTGACCGTTTGAACGTAATATCCAATTTCTGAGCTAAATTATAAACATGTGAACAATATTAGGTATTTTCTGTTGACAATGATAGTATTTACCCATTTTTTCCTGAATTTCATGTGGTTTCCATAGAGATTTTCAAGTTTTATTTCAAATCTTGGATGTTGCAAAGAATGTCCCGCATGACGAAACACATCAGCAAAGCTGGTAAAATTGACCTGGGTTATATTGTAACCCTACCTGTGAAATTTGCTTGTAAACCAGAGCTAACTTTAACCCGCTTGCTAGGGTAGCCTTAGCACAAGGGCAGGGTATTCGTTAGGCATCAGAGATTGGACAATTCTCTGTTTACTACATAGAATTCTCTGACTACCTTACCTATTTTTCATTCAGATGTGGAGCTGCTTTCAAAATATTCTTTTGTAACATTACACCTTTCTCCTGGGACAAACCCTGCAAGGGTAACCCTCTTTCCTTCAAATTACATTTTCCTTATCTCCTTGTGTAATCAGACCCTTTTTTAGCAATGACAATTGCTTTTTTGACATGCAACACTTTTCTTTGCTTAAGCCGTTGATTAGCAAGCTTCTTTTCCTAAAAATTTTACCCTAAAAATAAAAAATCAGTTACAAAGAGCTTCTTTCATAGATTAAATAAAGACGTTTTGAATGTGAAAAACATGATTCAAAATAAAAACATCCAGTATAACTGTTGACTGAAAGTGAAAGGAAGAAGATTGCAACATTTCAGATTTTTTAGATGTTACCGTTAAAAAGTAAGACAGGGAAATTTTCTAAATTCATGCATCTTTTAGTTAATTTGAAAAACATTTAATTCAAAAAATTTTCTGTTGTATTTTGCATGTTTTTACTGAAAGTGAATAGGACGTAATTTACAGGGGGATAAATCAGCATCTCAGGACTTTTTTAGATGTAACCACTAAATCTTGACATTTTGGACCGACAGTTTATATATGGGTTTTACTATAACAGTTACTTTCTCCTACACCTTTTAAAGGAGGTTGGATGCCTGGAGTATCCTTTGGCATGCAGAAGCAGCCCCTAGGTTAATAATGCTCACGCAATCTGTACAATTTTTATTTTGCCCTGTTAGATTTGTATGGAGGCAATGAAATCTGATGTCGATGAGGTTGTTCTCCAAGGAATTGAGTTTTGGTCTACAATTTGTGATGAAGAAATGGACCTAGCTATTGAAGCTGCAGAGGTAACAAGTGATTGATACCCAAGACATTTACACCTGTCTATTGATTAAGCTTTTGTGTGTTGCTGTGCATGGAATGTATTAGGTTTCTATTTTGTTTTTGAAATCTGTTGCTGGTTCATCATTTTGATCCAGAAAAAGAATTTTGAATCATTGAAAACATACTTTTTTTGATGGTCTTAAAAATTAATCCCAGGGCAAAAAGACTTTCCCCAAGGGTGTATGGGTCATTTGGAAGTCTGGAAAGTCGTGAAATTTAAGAGTTTCATTTTCCGGGTCTGGAAAACCATAGAAGTTTATTTTCAGTCATGGAAAGTTATGGAAAATTGAAGTCATGTTTGGTAGATATAGTTACTGCAAATGACAAAGCAAGGACAAAGTAAGATAGAGACAAGTAATTAAACACTGCAAACAGCCCTTGCTTTGGTGGACAGCAGTGTTTGGGTTTGTTGAACAGCGGTAAAGTGAGAGTTAAGAACAGAATTCCCTTCAGTGCGATAGCAAAATCCACTAGCCCTGGGCTCGCAGACACTATTTTCTTTGCAGGCTGTTATCAGCCCACCCTGTCACCACACCTCTACTGATTTGGCTCTTATGGATGTGAAAGAACTCACACTGCTATCTGTTTAAAGAGTTGGCGGGGGACATAGACCCCACGTGTGTGGTCGTAGTCATAAACATCTATGTGTGTGTGTTGTTTCTAACAGGCTTATATCTGCTTAATCGAGGCAACATGCCCTTATGATACAATTGATTATATATCACCCTCTCTATCAAATAAACAATGATGTTGATACCTTATCACATGAAATTTTCGCAACACTTAAATTTCGTGATTTTGTGAAATTTTTGTGTTTTGAATCAATTTAATTTCATGATCTTTAGTAAGATGCTATTTATTTAACTTATCCTTGAAGCAAAAAGAACAACTTCATTTACAATAACATTTTATTTTGATCAGGCGGCTGAATCTAACAGGAAGCCAGAGCAGTCCAGCATGTTTTATGCTAAAGGAGCTTTGGAATTTATAATTCCATATTTGATAGATTGCCTCATGAAACAGGTTAGATTAAACTCCACAACTCCATTTTGTAAGAATTAATTATTTTTAAGGATTATAATGATCTGTGACATAAATCCCATTTAAAGGAAAATATATAACTCATTTTTATCAAATATCTTTTGTCTCCGACTCCTAATACCCATACCATAATCAAACAATTCGCTCGAGTTGTTATTCAAAACAATAATTTGAGAAAAGTTTCTCCAATAAAAAGTGTGAATGTTTCACATTTGTTGGGATATTATTACCGATACTTCGAAGGGCTCATGTATGGTGCACTTTTTAAGCTACCCGAAAGTAGCAACCTCCTAATGACCCTCCCGAAAGTGGCAAAGAAAAAGGGTGCTAAATGCACGTTCGTATGTTTTAAACGAGTTTTTTAGCTCCTCGACGTAATGTATCAAAATAAATGATTGATTAGTTGATTGATTGGTTCATTGATTGAAAGTAACCAGGTCGTTACTTTGGAACTTTAAGGTGAATTGTTTTTACCTGTCATTTACAGGAGGAATTTGATGATGAAGATGACTGGAATCCTTGTAAAGCTGGTGGTGTTTGTCTTATGCTGTTAGCCCAGTGCACTGAACATCACATCGTTCCTCATGTTTTGACATTCATTAAAGAAAACATCAAAAACCCTGACTGGAAAAGAAGAGATGCTGCTGTAATGACATTAGGTGGGTTCATGTTATTTGGTTTTGAGGCTGGGAGAGGTAAATGCAACCAAACTCAAGCACAATAGGTCAAAGGGTAATTGTAAACTGCCACTTAAGCCCTAGGCTTAAACATCTTTGTAAGGGGTATTATTGAGCAAGGTGTGCCAAAACTTATGTCCGATTGTCCAGGACAGATAGAAATTTAGTTCGGACATGAAAAACTTTAATATGACTTGTCCATGGGAAAAGCATATTTTTTAGTAGAAAAAATACCGAAACAGTCGAATTGAAAAAATAAGGTGAAATATTCCTTTTAACTTCGCCATTCCATGGCGATTTCATTTGTTTTTATGAGCTCCATTTCAGGTTTAAGTCAAAAATAATTATTTTACAAGGTCCCAAGGATAATTGGCCAGAGTGGAAAAAAAAAATACTGTAATATTCTTTAAAATGCCGTTTGTGTGGTGCTTCATGTAAACCTTACTTATGCAGTATTTTTTTTTCAGGTGCAATTCTTGAGGGACCTGACCCCAAATATCTGCAAGAACTTACGACTGAGGTGAGGTTGAGTCTGTTAAAATAGAACTATCTAAGTTGCAAAGCATACTTAGTAGGGACCTTAAGATCTGATGACAGCCTTGGCATTAAGAACGTCAACCAAGCAATAGGTTTAATAAGCAAAACAACCACTTTGCTCATACATCATGCCTTTTAATACATTTCTTTTTCGTCACTGCTTGACTGTGATGTAAACATAACTAATTTCACGTTTTACGGAGGATGTAAAGAAGCAGCAAAAAATTTTTTTCTCTATTTCTGAACTTGGATAGTGTTCTTAGAATTTAACTATTGGAGGGTTTACCTACATGACACAGTAAGTGAGTTAAAATAGTATCAATGCAGATTGAAAGATTGCAATTCACTGCTGCCGTTGAGTGATGTGAGGGTAATTTCTGCTCACTCCATCGCTTGTCATCGTGATTAACTAGCCAGTCATGAGGGGGTTGTACTTCATGTTTCAAGCTTTTCACAACATGGGTGATAGAGTCCTAGCTGGATGACAGTGCACTGCCATTAGTCATTCATAATTCTTGGTCCAGGGTGAGCCAAACCTATGTCCAATGGTCCGCTACAGGTAGAGATTTAGTTTGGACATGTAAACTTTGACATGACTTGTCTGTGGGACAAGCACATTTTAAATAAGAAATAGTAAGGAAACAGTTGAAAATTGACTTCAAATTACCAAGACGTAACTCATTCCCAGGCTTAAAGCAACCGAGAAAAGAAAAAAAATCTGGGATACTAGCAAAGAATTAAGTGAATCGAGAGAAAATCTTTCAATACTCTAGTTTCGAGCAAAGCAGTTTGGACAAGGACTCTTGGGTTTCGGACAACCAAATTTAATATAGTGCTTGCCCGAAGGACAAGTGGATAAGAGAATATTTCTCTTACTCTGTTGGTCACAGCTGACATTTTAAACTTAGTACTTTTAGCCTTTTGAGTGCCTTCTTGCTGCTAATTTTCCCTCATTTGAAGCGAGTGTTTGACGAAGGGTTTCTTTTGCAGTTAATGCCCTCACTCATAGAGTTAATGCAAGATCATAGTGTTATTGTAAGAGATTCTGTGGCATGGACTCTTGGTCGGATATGCGAGATATTGCCACAAATAGCTATTGAACGTTTCCTTCAACCACTTGTGGACGCTTTGTTGGCTGGCCTTGATTCTGAACCCCGCGTTGCTGCCAATGTATGCTGGGTAAGAAACTATTATCTTGTAAAAATGCAGAAAAATAAACCAGGCCTTCCAAAGGTAGAAGCGACAGGCAACATTGACAGTGACAATCCAATTTTTAAGTTAAGTTAAAATGACGTCTGTTCACTTTTTTAACATACTGAAGGAAATGGAATAAGAATATAAGTTTGAAATAGTGCGGATTCACATTTTAATGATATGGGGAAATAATACTCTGGCTGGGTTGTGTTTTCAGGCATTCAACTCTCTTGGTGAAGCAGCATATGATGCTGCCCCAGTTCCAGATGAGGAAGAAGAACCACCAACTTATGCTCTATCCATGTGGTTTTCTCAAATATTAAGCAAGCTCCTTGAGGTCACCGTAAGGTATGTGATGGCCATCTGACATTTTTCTGAAATTTGCACTACTACTACTACGTACTGCTGCTACTGCTTCTACTACTACTAGAGAGGCATAATGGATGGTTTTGCCATGCACATGTTTTATAATGAGTAGATCTTTTTACCAATATGGCGGCCATATTGAATTAATTTGATTTAAGGAGTATTATAGGATGCTCGGGGGGGCACGAGCACATTTCGTTTGTATTTTCGAGTTGTTTTTAGGACATTTTTTCTTAAAGTTTTCTTAGAATAAGATTGTAATGGGAAAAAAGATCCTTGTGCCTTGTTCTGATGTAATAATGATCGCTTTTTTCCCGAGAAATATACAGTGAAAGACCACATTTCTAATAATAAACTAGTAAAAGGCGATCATTATTACATCAAAACACGGAACAAGGATCTTTTTTCCCATTACAAGCTTTTAGAAAAAAAATGTCCCGAAAAGTGCTCGAAAATACAAACGAAATGTGCTCATGCCCCCTGGGCATCCTATAATACTCCTTAATTACAATACTGCAGTATTTTTTTCTTTTGTTTATAGGTTTTCACAAGATTTTAATAAAGTTGTTGATTAATTCAATTTTTTTTAAAAAAAATATTATTATGTAAACACCAAAATGCTAATATTCCCTAATAAGTGCACATTTATTATTTTAAGTGTAGACTTTCCTGTATGAATTTTTAGAAAGTTAAGAAATAATATTATTCAATATCGTTGGATAGCTAACCTGCGAACGCAGACACATTTCTGGTCATCATGCCCCCTTTGGCACAATTTAATATATAAGGTGTTTTTCATCTTTTTTTGTAGACCTGAAGCTAACCAAGGAAACCTTAGAAGTGCTGCATATGAAGCTATAATGGAATTAATAAAAAATAGTGCTAAGGTATATAAATACAGTAGAACCATGCTAACTTGAACTCCCCTCTAACTCAAAAGAAGCTCCATTTGTTAGTTAACCCTGTAAGTCCTGATAGTGACCAAGATCAATTTTCTCCTAACAATATCCATATGTTGCCAAGAGAAATGGCTATGAGAGTTAATAAAATGATCACCTAAGAGAGATCTTCTACCAAATTCTCTCAACTTATTCCTTAAGGAAATGTATAAAGACCAGTTTGGAGAATTTGTATGTGGATATTGGGGCTTAAAGGGTTAACAGGGTTCTACTGTATTGAGCTTCTTTGTGTGACAATGATGCGCATGGTGTGTCGTGATAATGATTGGAAGTCTCTCAATGTCTTGTTGTTTTTACCAATTTATCATGTACTTTTTTTTCTTAGGACCTCAGTGTTCAATTGAGCTGTGTTACTGTGAGGAGAAGTTAAATGTTGATCATTCTCTCTTTCTATTTTCTCAGGACTGTTATGAAATTGTACAGAAAACAACGCTGATTATTCTAGAGAGACTCCAGCAAGTCCTAATGATTGATGTAAGCTAACCAGTCACTGATGACAGTCTCTTTTTTCATCCTCCACTTCTTGGTCATTTTTTTTTATCATTTAATCGCTTTCACCATGATTACAATACTAAAAAAGACTAGGGAAAAAAAAAACATTTGAACAAGCCACAAAAACGAAGGACAAAGGTGCGGGACACACAACAGAGCGAGGCTCCACATTAAGTGTGCTCGTACGGAAAATACACAAATACTAACTATGTAAACATTAAACATTATTGAAAGTATAAAAATCCCATTTGTAAAAACGATAAGAATGAATCCCTCCCTCAGCAGATAAGTAGTCTTAGTAGCAGCAGCAGCAGTTACCAGCTAATAGAAGATTACGTGACCTACTTCATTTGCAGTAGATCGACTTCCAGGGGTTACAGTTAGTGACGTCATAGTTTGTACGAAAAGCAGCCGGATAGCGTTGGAGTACATGAGATTTAAACTGATTAAGAGAACTAAGAGTACGAGTGGATTCAGGGAACGTATTCCAGAGTTTAGCAATACGATTAAAGTAACTAAATTGAAAGAGCTTTGTACGGCACTTGGGAATTAGTACGTCTTGATCAGAGCTATGGCGAGTGAGATGAGTGCCTTTAGACTTGACATAATCAGCTATGGGTAAGGTGTAGTGGCCAGCGCGATACTTGAAATAGAAAATTCAATTTCTATATATTTTTTTTTGGCATCCTTTACAAAGCCTCCTTCTTGGAAAGACAAGAAGTTAATGATGTTTAAAGGCAGTGAATACTGTACTTTGTTTTTTGCAGAAAAGTATGTCTGACAGAAGCCAATATAATGACCTTCAGTCTCTCCTATGTGCTACACTCCAGGTAAAGCCAAACTAAGTCTATCAAGCGCTTGATGACCAGTTAATAGAGGTGACAACAATAGGGACTTTAAGATCCAACGACGCGACGGCGACAAGAACGTCGCTTAAAAAGTGAATATGCGTTCTTCAGTCTTTATAGCGATTATTCCTACCCACTTACTTTGTCAATTGTAGTTGAACCCTCTTGAAGCTGAATTTCAAGGGACCATAGCCAAGCTCAAAAAGAGAAATAAAATTTCGTCGTTGCTTGTTTACGTCCTCCATAAAACGCGAAATTAGGCATTTTCACGTCGCAGTCGTGCAAAAACGGGAAAGAAATGTACAAAAAAGTGTGATGCACGTGCGAAATTGCGGTTTTGCAAATTAAACCTATTGTTTTTTTGACGTTCTCATTGTCGTCCGCGTCGTTGGATCTTAAAGTTCCTATTGGGAGAACTCTCGTTGGGACAGCCAAAAGGTGGCCACTTAATAGAAGCTTAATTTCCCATTCTTTTTTACAATTATTTCAAGACTTTAAATACTGGCCGCTGAATAGATGGTGGCCGCTTAATGGTGTCATTTATGAATTGAAACCATTGTGTGGAGACATTATGCTTGTTGGGAAAATTTAACAAAAATAATGTGACATTACAGTATTCACTAGTGGCAGAGGCTCAAAACGAGCACCTGAAGTCTTGTTCAGTTCTTTCGTAGGCTTTTGCGTTCTCATTTGACCTTGTACTGTCTTAGCCCAAGACTTCCTGTAACCTGTCTGCGACCGCCATGATGGAAAAGTTTCAGATTGTAACAGGCTGAGTCCTTGATATTCTAACCCATATTTTCTTTTGTTATTCCAACAGAGTGTTCTGCGGAAAGTGAACCCCTTAGACGCATTACAGATTGCTAATCCAATAATGAACGCCCTGCTTCAGATGCTTAGTTTTGGTGATAATGTAACAGGTGGGGTCCAAGAAGATGCGCTCATGGCCATAGGCACTCTTGTGGAGGGTATGTGACTTTTGAATGTTTATTATCATTGTCATCAGACGGAATGGCTACATGGATAAGAGTGCATAGTGCACCTATTACCTCTATTGTTATCAGCAACAGTGTCTGGCTGTTTAGTTGATATGGCTTTGCCTGTCTGCCTGTCTGTTCATTGGGCTGATTTAACAACAGAGTGGGAACGTCAGTGGTCGACTGTGCGCGGCTTCCGATGCTCAATTTGCCGCTGTACCATCGGTCAAGCCAGTTGTTTGATTTGCGTGTGTCGTCGTCAACTGAGGTTTGGGTTCTGTTGCTAAATCAGCCTATTATTAGTTACTGTAAATCTGTATTTTATAATTTCTCAACTGAAGCAGACACTCGTTTGAGCCTTGAAGTTAAAGGTGTGTTTGAGTTTTGACGACGTTTTCATTACCTTTGTTTCTAGTCGTTGGTGAGCAGTTTGTGACATACATAGAAGCATTTAAACCATACTTATTAGAAGCACTCAAAAACAAAGCTGAATACCAGGTAATAACTTTCTGTTGCTTTCCTTTTGAAGAACAACTCCAGTAATTGCGCATTTGCTGCCTAATGACATTCCAGTGCAACAACCAGTTGCAAAAATGTTGATACACTAAGGCGAAAAAAAACTGGCTCTTTCTGCTGAAAATCTGCTAGTCACACATCTGCGAGATAAAACACTCAACCCCCCCTCTCTCCCTCCATTCGAAGTTGTTCCTCAAGTTCTGAGCATGGTCTTGTATAGCTAGCAACTTCGACAAGGGGGAGGGGGGAGGGGGTCACAAGCACATGATCAATAATAACGGACAGTCCATTTAAGCCGAAAGAAGGTTTCAGTTGCAACTGGTTGTAGCAGTTTGTTATATGAACCTACGGTCTGAGTAGCGCCCACTAGTCTCCCGTGGCTCAGTGGGAGAGCGTCTGGACTGTCGTAGGTTCGACTTCCTTTTGGGAGAACTCCGTTTTTTTTCAAGTCGCCTGAATAACCATAGCCTGTTCCAAGCGTTCAGAAAAATTGACGAGGTGGAAAAACGAGAGGATACTTAACTTGCTCCCCACCATCTGAACACAGGCTAGAATAACCATTCCAACATATTGAGCCTTTCGAGTCCCCAGTCGTTGGTGATCGCTTATTTTGGGAACATTTTTTTTCGATCTCATCGTGCTCATATATTTGTTCTTTATTGTCGCACTAAAGGTTTGTGTGGCTGCTGTGGGGCTGGTGGGAGACATTGCACGAGCTTTGGGATCAAATATAGTGAGTTACAGTGACCTTTTTATGCGGATTTTACTGGAAAACCTGGCGGTAAGTTGACTCTTTCGCTGATTACTGGTCGTTTCGATACAAGTTTATTCAGTCGAGGTGTAGATAGTTTCACGCACTTGGCTTAAAGAACGTGGAATATTGACCCCAAATGCTAATGCGCAAACTACACTTGAAGTGGTCAAAATTTTTGTGCAATTTCAATACTTGAGTTCGTATGACTTGTTCGAAACAACCGGTTTCGCTTGGTGGTTAACCCTTTAAGCCCCAAGAGTGATCAGCATGAAATTTCTCCTCATAATATCAATGCTTTAGAAAACATGGTGGTTGTGAGAATTGAGTACATGATCAGGGAGGATGAGTCTATTTGATATTTCACCAAATTCTCCCCAATACCTCTATTGAATCGTATAGGGACAGTAAATGAGAATCTCAATTTTGATATTAGGGTTTAAAGGTTTAATGCTTTTTGTAACGTTTCACCTGTACGGTGTTAGGCTTTTATGGCAGCACAAGTGATTTTCAGTTGTTACTCCTTCTCAAAGATCGTACTGGATAGGCCTTCTATTCACAAATAAAACGCCAGCTTCGGCGCGAAATTTGTGTGCCGGCGCGGGGCGCCGCTGTGACACGACGCCCTTGAGAGTGAGAAGCGAAAACCTTCCTCTTCGCTCCAACTTTCGCGTAATCGATCGGAAACGCTTGTTACGCAGGCTAGCATCACGCTTGTATTATGCGATGAAGTTTGAAACATTTTCGTTTCTGTTTCCATCGTGAGTGCTTAAACCTCCTTTAAACTCTGTGTAATTCAACAACTGTTAAATTCTGTTCCCCACAGGATGTCACAGTTCACAGAAGTGTCAAACCTCATATTCTCTCTGTGTTTGGTGACATAGCCCTGGCCATCGGACCTAACTTTAAGACGTACTTCGACGTTGTCATAGCTACTCTAAATCAAGCCTCGGCAACGACTGTTGACAAAGTAAGTATAGTCGCAACCTCGTTCCCAGGTTCTCTCTCCTACCCTCTCTCTCGCTCCGTAGGGGCGGGTTGGAGAGAACTCTGGGAACGAGGTTGGTACTAGTAAATTGTAATTGCCACTAATTGGTACTCAGTAAATCGACACTATGGTCTGACGAAGACCTACAATACGCAGTCGAAACGTCGCGATCAATATCTGAGGCCTGGGCGAACCAAACTCAGTGGGCGCTTTCCATGTAGTCAAAATTTCCGGAATTTCCGGTTCGGCGGTAAATGGAACACGTTTCGTCGGTTCGTCCCACTGGAAAATTCCCAGAAAAAGTGGAAAATCTAAAAAGGTGGTCCCGTTTTCCCGGTTGGAATTTCCGAACGGAATGTCGTGTTCCATTGACGTTTCTTGTAGTTTGTACCAGTTCCAGGTTCACGGTCGGGCACCCGGCCACGTACCGGGGTTTACGACCAAATGGAACAACTTTTTACCAAACGGAAATTCCACTTTTGCTACCACCGAAATTTCCGGGTTTTTTTCGTAAATGGAAAGCGCCCAGTGAGTCAAGTTCATGAAAAGTAGGTCGTCTGGCTCGGGAGAAAATTTATTACTGATCGGATTCAGTAGATTGGTTTGACGCGTCCTAAGTTCAACGTCTGACCCAAATTAGACTTCGGTTCGTCTCATAAAAAGTTCGATGTTTGGCCTAGGCGTAAGTGACAATCGTTGGACAAACGGTAAACGGAACCCTTTTGTATACTCATTAACCACGATGAAAAATATCTTTCACGACCAAGTAATTACAGTTTGTCACTGTTTGTTATGTTTTTGTATTCTGTTCTAAAGGCGCATTATTTTAATGTTGTAACATTCTGTAATCCCTGTTGGATTTCAAGTTGGAAAGCGGCGTGTCATTAGAAACTTTAAGATTCGACGACGAGGACTCCTGCGTAGACGAGATTTAACTTAAAGTTATTTCAAGTTGTCTAACTTGAGGTATTCTCCAAAAATATACACCGCAGAAGTCATTGTACATTTCTTCACCAGAAAAGTAAGCACGGATATTTTCATTGAAGCCGGGGAAAACTGATAAAACTTCTTTTTTTTTTTTTTTTTTTTTTTTTTTTTTTTTTTTTTTAATTTTTATTGTTTTTACAAACATAATGCTGACTTACTTACATAGTACTTACTTACTTACATAAAGCTTTAATACCCACTTACATATAACTTGCTAAGTTAAATACTACATACTTACATAATATAAACTTACAAGATAATGCTTACAAAACAGGAGCCAATGAGTTGGAGTCTGTTACAAAATAATGAAAAAAGAATTCTAATACAACTAATTACTAACTTACTATCTATTAACGAAGAGTAAATACGCAAAAAACGACAAAAAAATAGATAAATAAATAAATAAATAACAAACAAACAAACAAAACAAAAAAGCCAAAAAACAAGGGAAATTAGCCAGAATCAAGAAAATTATTTTTACAGCTTGACTTGCACCTTTGCTTTGCTAGTTTCAATTTGTATTTTATTTTTAAGGATAGACAAAAAAGCGTCGAAAAAATAATCTTCCTCATTTTTAGACGCGGTGTAAATATAGTATTTTGCAATTATCAAGCAGAGGTTTAAACCAAGACACTGAGGCACGGTGTCTGTAATGCCATAAAGTGTTTGTGCTTCAGAAAGCGAGATCTCAATGTTGTTTTTTTCGCGCCACCAAACTGAAAAATGTGTCCAAAACAGCTGAGCATTGGGGCAAGTCACAAATAGGTGTGTGATTGTTTGCTTTTCAGCGCATAAATGACAGCGGTCATGTTCCTTAATTCCGAATTTATATAATGTAGCGTTGGTGGGTAAGATGTGGTGTAAGATCTTGAACTGAAACATTGAGAGTTGTATGTCTTTCGTAGCACTGAAAGGCATCTTGTAAATTTGAGAAATTTGCTGTTCGTTTAAACTAGCTTTTCTCAGTCTTTTTTTGGCGGTGGCAGGAACAAATTTTCTTTCAACAAAAAAGTTGGTAGCAAGTTTAGAAGAAAGCTTCTCAACGGGAATTCTATCCATACTTATGGATTTATTCGAAGGCGGTTGTAATTTACCTTTCATTATTTTAATCCAGTTAGGAGGAATTGCTTTGCATAAACCGTAGTAGGCAAGAAAATTAGTTTTAAGACCAAAATAAGAGCAGAAGTCTTGGTGAGATAGAAAGGTATTGCCGTTGAAGAGATCTCCAATTTTTTCAACACCCGCTACATGCCATGCTTTATAGTATACTGAATAATTGTTGATCCTAATAAAGCGGTTGTTCCATAAGATTTCATTCAGTATTTCTTCTTTTGAGGAGGGAGTGAACGAATTTATGGATTGCCAGGCCAACAAGGCTTTCTCGTAAAAGATCAATGGAATGTGGATGTTAAGATGTTTAAGTTCAAAGTTACATTTAAGGAGAAAGAGACCACCAACTCGCTCTAGCAGGGAAACAGGAATGTGAGTCCAACTCGCGGTGGGATGACAGCTGTCAAGTCTTCTGATCCAAGTTGCTTTGAGAGCATTGTTAATTATGTCAAAATCAGGCAATGAGAGACCACCTTTTTCTTTAGGGCCAATCAGGGTAGTTTGTTTTATTTTTGGTTTTTTCTTTTGCCAGACGAATTGAGTAATAGCTTTATTAACTTTTTGAATAAATGTGGGGGTGACAGTGAGGACAGCAGTGTTATAAATAAGTTTGGAGAGGGCTAATGCTTTTAAAATGACAATTCGACCATGTAAAGTTAAGTTCCTAGGGTACCACAAGTTTAGCAAGGAAGCCATCGAGGACAGTTTCTGTTCAAAGTTCCTTTTGAAAACAGCTTCGTCATCATAAGAGAAGTGAATACCAAGTGCAAATACAGGATCTTTTGGCCATGCAATATCAAGAGGTTCTTCCGGGTTGTTTTTGTTCGCGCCTAGCCACAAGCCCTCTGTCTTGCTTCTGTTTACTTCAAGACCAGAGCATTTTTGAAAAGCGTGGAGCAGTTGGAAGAGGTTTTGGGCAGATGTTATATCAGAGACAAAAACAGTGGTATCATCTGCGTATTGTGAAATTTTGAATTCCTTTCCATATATGTTGATTCCTTGAATATTTGCATTAGACCTTATTGCATTAGCAAGAATTTCAGCGCACAGCACAAATAGGGAGCCGGAAAGAGGGCACCCTTGGCGAACACCTCTTTGTAGTTTAAAGAAGACAGAGGCGTAACCATTATTTACTACACAGCTAGAACAGTCAGTGTAAAAGGTTCGGATCCACTGTAGTAACTGAGGGCCGAAATTTAATGCCTCCAAGGTCTTAAAAAGAAAGTTCCAGTCGACGGTGTCAAAAGCTTTTTTAAAGTCCACAAAAATCGCCATGCCGGGAATGTTTTCTAGCTCAGTAATCTTCATGATATCGTTAATGAGTCTAATGTTCTGTCCTATATAGCGGCCCTTGACATAGCCAGTTTGGTCGTCGTTTATTAATTTGGGGAGGACTTTAGCGATTCGATGGGCTATAGATTTGGTTGCTATTTTATAGTCGACGTTAAGTAACGTTAGCGGTCTCCAATGTTCCAAATACAACCTGTTCTTGCGCTTTTTCGGTATGACCTTTATTATACCTTGTCTTTGTGTTATGTTGAGTTGTTCTACTTTATGAGCATAGTTAAAGCTTTGGACCATCTCATCACCAAGTAGATGCCAGAAGTGCAAATAGAACTCAACTGAGAGACCGTCGCTGCCCGGACATTTGTTTTTAGCACACTGTTTAAGAACGGTGAAACACTCGGTTTTCGACAAAGGCTCTTCAAGTTCATTTAGCTCGTCTTCGTCGAGTTTGACGAGGTTAGGGTCTCCCAGGAAAGCATCGCGCGCAATAATATCACAGGGAGCGCTCGTATATAAATTTTCATAAAATGCTCTCTGCATTTCCAAAATCTCTTTTTCGCAAGAAGTTTCCGAGCCAGTACTTGTTTTAAGCCTAGTTATATGAGTTTTTGCAAACCTCCTTTTCTCAAGATTTAAGAAGTATTTAGTATTCTTTTCTCCTTTTTCGTGCCAGCGTATCCTACTTCTAATCATTGCACCCTCGGTTTTATATTCAGCAATCTGATTGAGTTGAGCTCTTAATTGGTAGAGTTTAGTGATATTTTCTTTCGATCTGTTGGATTGCAGCAAGGCCATTAGGTGATCAATTTCTTTCTGAAGGTCTCGTTCCTTATTTCTTTTTTATTCTGTTTTTCCTTTTTGAGTATTGTACACAGAAACCTCTAATCTCCATCTTGAGCATGTCCCAGTACAGGCCTTCATTAGTAAGGTAACAGTGTTTGCTTTTGTATTCGGGTATTTTGCTTACGAGCTCGTCAATGAAATTTGCGTCTTTCAGCAAAGCGTTATTAATTTTCCAAAACCCAGGTCCACGTTTAGCGTATTCTGTCGATTGAAGAGTGAAAGTGATAGCGCTATGATCAGATATTGTGGGGTTGGTGATGTTAGTATCAATGACAGACATCAACAATTCTTTCGACACAAGCCAATAATCTAAGCGGCATTGCACTTTCAAGGAATTGTTACGCCATGTAAATTGTGTTTTGTTGGTATGTTGATTTCTCCAAATGTCATGAAGTTTAAAACGCCGGGTTAAGCCTTCAATCTCGTCAATGACTTTTTGTTTTTTCTGAACAGTAGCACCACCCATTTTATCTGTAGGTGTTAATGGGCAATTCATGTCACCTCCCAAGATGATTTGTGCATCTGCAAATGGTAGGAGAATGTTATCAAGATTGCGAAAGAAAGCTATCTGGGCGGTAGAGTCATTTGGCGCGTAAATGTTGCTAAACAAGAAGGAAGATTCCAGCACGTTGGCTTTTAATAGCAAGTATCGTCCATTCTTATCAGCGAAGATGCTTTCTGTTTCGAAATCCAGACTCGGTTTAAATAATATCATCACACCTTTTGAATGTGTTGTTCCATGACTGTAATAAATTTTCCCTCCCCATTCTGCTTTCCATATTTCTTCGACACTTTTAGAAGAGTAAGTTTCTTGTAAATAAACAACGTCGAATTTTTGATTGTGGAGCCATCTAAACACCCGCCGTCTCTTTCTAGCTTGATTTAAACCTCTTACGTTTAAAGAACAAAAGGAGAGTCTAAACGGAGCAGCTGTGAATTAGCAGCATAGAATATTCTATCGGTTTCGTTGAGGAAGATATTGAAAAACTTTTCGAATGTGAGCAATTTCGAATTGAAAGTGTACTTAATGTAAATTAAATAATAAACATTAGTAATCAGCCTTAACGCAAGCTGAAGGAGTACAAGACTAAGCTGTAGGGAGATAAATCTAAGTATATCAAAATAGATTCTAAACATGTAAATAAAAACGGCTATACAGAAACGCTAAGACACAAAACGCACAGTTACTAGAGCACAAATTGCTCAAAGTAGGGAAACCTCTTCTTACACCTAAACGGGTTCCCTATGAACAGTTTAATGCTAAATAAGTAGGCGCTATGAGCGAAGCAACTCTTGGGAGCGCGAAAGGAATCAATTATTTACAACAACTGACTAATCATGTACCATAACTTTACCGTACAGAGGAAGATCTTTAGTTTCTTTTCCACGATAAACTTGCCCATCAATAATAAGTTTGTCGACATTAAAGAAAGCTTTCTTCTTCTGGGCTTTAGCAGCTTTCAGGATTGGGTAAAGTTTCTTGTGCATATCGGCAATTTCTTTTGGGAAGTCACTGGCAACACCGATCTTTGAGCCTTTTGGTAAGCTTCTAGCGTATGAAAAAATTTGCTCCTTGTCTTGATAAAAGCTGGCTTTGGCGATTATTGGGCGCGGACTCTTAGATTTGTTGGTTTGATTAACAGCTCGGGTGTTAGAAATTCGATGAACTCTTTCGAAGCTCATATTGTTTACGTCTTCTTCAGGTATTTGAAGCTGTTGTAACAGGACGTTTCTCAACACTTGCTCGGTTTCTGCTGGAGTTTCATGTGGAGAATCTCTGACACCGTAAACTCTGAAGTTGCTTCTTCTTGACTGAGCTTCAAGACGTATGTTGCGACATACTAATTTGTCGACTTCAGCCTTCAACTGATCATTTTCTTTGCGAAGCGAAGCAGTCGCCTTTTCAGTCGCCGCGGCAGCATTTTTAATTTCTTGAATTTCCTTAGTTGCAGAATTCAAACTTTCCATTAGTTGCTTGTTTTCCTCTGTGAGTTTAGCAATTACTGATTTTAGGTCATCAACAGCTGGTTTGAGAAGAAGTAAGCTTTCTAACTTATTCCTGATATCGTCAAGGGCTTTCAGCGTGGCGTCACCCTCGTGGTCGGGAAGCTCCTCGAGGTCGTCGTCAGTTTGTGAACCTTTTTCCCGTATTCTTTTTGCTCTTCTTCTAGAGGAAACGTCATTCTTCCCAAGCGAGTCAGTTTTGGCTGCCATTCGGTAAAAAATTAAGTGCGCTCCATGGTTATAAGCGGAGTTTACATCGAAAACGACGGAGCGATAAAAGAAACAACCATCTTTGACAGCGCCTAATTAGCTATAAAACTTCTGTTATTTGATAACTTGTCCATGTAATATCCTCTATTTCTTTAACAAGATAGAGCGCATTTTCTAACCAAGTTTTAATTAAAATGAACAAACAAGAATAAGTTGTGGACTGAGAGGATCATTTTTGTTTACTTTATATACAGAATGACTACGACATGGTGGATTATTTGAATGAGCTTAGAGAAGGCTGCTTAGAGGCTTACACTGGAATTATCCAAGGGCTAAAGGGTGAAGTACCTGAGGGAACCGTGAATGGTAAGTACTCCGTGGGCTTCAGTCATATAAGGGAGTGTTAAAAAGACTCGGCGCTTCGCGTTGGATCCCATCGGCTTAAAACCCCTTGGACACCTAATGAATTTACACAACGTACTACCGTATTATCCTTATCGCTTCGGTTTCCCTTGTACTGTAGATTTATAGTGTGGACGCGATAAGGAATACCAAGAAAAGAGGGAATACCACGCTGTGTAAACAGCTCGCTCTGGCATTTGATCACTTTTATTTTTACGGTTTTAGACCGATAAATTGTCCAAGGGAAAGAAAAAACTTGAACCCAGTTTCACTTTAGACGTCGTTGTGAACATTGAAGACTGACATAAAGTGTAAAACGTTTTGTAACATTAACTTTAAATCATTTTTGATAACAAAACCTCTATTTCATTGGCGCAAGTACGCGTACACAAAATTGTCATATGGATTTCTTAGGAAAGAATTCTTGACCACCGATGTGAAGAAAGCAGCACTCGAATCCATTTTCGAGTAGGATTTGGGCTCTTACGGGATATTGGACTGTAGTCGCGGATTTATGAATTGTGTTCTTTTTTCTTACAGCGGATCTCACTGTGCTTAACCACCATATTATGCACATCATACAATTTATTGAACTCGTAGCAACAGACCAGGACCATTCTGAAAGCAATGTGTCTAGTGCGTGCGGTCTTGTAGGGTAAGTGAAGGATATTCATTGTCCTTTAGGCGCCCAGTTATAGATGAGGAAGGAGAAATAAGCTTAAGGTTATGTTCACAGTATACCGCATGGCTCTTACGCCGGCACGAAAACTCTACCGGGTAGAGCCTCTGTTCATACATAAGAACGGTGATTTCGGCGCGATTTCGGAGCGAAGCTGCTCTGCGCAGATCTCGAAAGTGGAGAGTCGCATATCGGATAGGTTCTGTGTCACACCATAGTGTAGTGTAGTGTAGTGTAGTGTAGTGTGAACAGGTGGTTTGGGACCGTAGCAGAAGTGAATAAGAAGGAACCACGACTGGGATCCACTAAGACGAAACGGGAAGTAAGCATTTAGGGGTGAGAACTGGGAATTAGTTCACCTACCCTCTGGGCCAACCGCTCCGGCACGATGTTCCGCGTGGGTGAACGACTTTTTCCAGTTCTATGCCGTTGCTGTTTATACTTGGCGTGCGAAAACAACCATTTCTCCGCGCTGCTAGGAACGTTTACTGTTTCAGTGAACTTTAACAGGGTTGAATTATATTTATAGCTTGCATTTTATCAAGCCAAAGAAAACGTAAAAACGCCCCGAATGGATTCAATTGATAGGCCCCTGACAAAGTTGATTAGATGCGGCCTCTGCCAGTTTTTTAATTAAAAGTTAACTTATGGAATTAAAAAAAGAACAAACCAACTAATATTGGGATAACGAAAATCTAGCACGAATCTGTAGCTCTTCGAATGGCGTTGTAATGACTTCATGAATCATTTTCTCCCTTTACCAGCCAAACGAGAAACGCGCACGGCCGAATCGTGTGCTTTTTTATCAAAACATCATTCAGACACAATTTGTTCTTTTACGTTTGAAGTGTCAGTTCACACAAACGTACAAGAAACTTCAATAAAACAAGCAAAATGTTTTACCTGGATTTAAAATGGGCAGAGCTATCACCCAGCTAAAGATATGCCTTTCCATAAAGTCTTTTTTCGACTTTTTCTTGTGCTGATAACAGTTTTTTTCTTGTCCTCAGTTCGCTTGTTGTCAGAAACGCCGTTCAGCTTAAATTCCCGCCAAAAACGCGGGTTGGCCTTATGATTTCCCGCCAAAATGCGGAGTATAGCACAGTTATTTCTTGTGCGACATTTCACAGTGGCTTACATATAGGTGGTGGACGGTCGCGACCACCATGGGAGGCTGCGATCCTATTGGTCAGCACCAAGGATTACTTGGGGATAACATTGGTTAACTTCTCAAAGTTACAATGCAATTTTTGTTTCTTTGCAGTGATATTTGCTCTGCGTTCGGTGCACAAGTGCATCCGTATCTAGAAAAACAAGCTATAAATGAACTTTTGCAAGAAGGAAGACGATCAAAAACTCACAAAACCAAACAAGTCGCCACTTGGGCCACTAAGGAATTACGCAAGCTCAAGCAACAGCAGGTGAGTTATATCGTAATCTGATTTCTTCGAAATGCTCAAGTCTAAATCTGCACTCTTCTTTGTCATTTGACCACCCTCTAGTGCGCCTGTGCCGTAAGCCGCTGAATAATAACAGGCTCATGAATTCGAAACGTTGACTGGACGAAAGCTCTTCTCTATTAATGCCCCGTATGACTCCAGTGCGCCTGTGCCATATGCCGCTGAGCCACAACAGGCTCATGAATTCGAGCTGTTGACTGAACGAAAGCTCTTCTCTATTAATGCGAGCTCCGTATTACTCCAGTGTGCCTGTGCTGTGTGCCGCTGGGCGACAACAGGCTCATGAATTCGAATTGTTGACTGGAGGAATGTTTTTGTCTATAATGACCCAGGTTGTGGCTTTTCATGTCAGTCTTTCTCGGTCAGCGAAGCCCAAGCATACGCAATTATCATTAACAACTTCGGCACTGTGTGATTTGCGTATGTCCCGTTAGCACGTCAGATCTGGCGGAAAAATTCGCCAAAGACTCCTCGCCATAGATCAGCAAAGTCCCCATAGTTTCGTAGGTGGGAAATTTCGTAAACGCCCCTGTTGCCAGACGCAGGTAATTTCATGTCTTGCATACTAGTGTAATGAAGTTAAAGTATCAGACATCATGGGCTGTACATGGTCGAGACTATTGTTGGAAAGGGTGTGATTGAGTCCTTGAGGTTGATTTGAGCGTTTAACAATACCAAGGTCGTTGATATAGATGCTCTACGCTTAGCAACACACTAATATGAACCATTCTTCTTTTCCCCTAGAATTGATCACGTGACGGCGACAACTGAGCGAGCGTGCGAGAGTGCGTGAGAATCGAGCACCCAAGCGGTCAAGAGACGTGCGTGGCGAGCGAGTGTGTTACCCCACCCCTCCCCTAAACAAGAAACAGGCTGGACAAGAAGCCTTTTCGACGAACCAAAGACAGTCAACTTTGAAATCACGTGACGACAGTTTATAAAACTTGGCGGCGGCGAGGCGATAAATATTGGAGTCCGCATACAACGCTGAACCTGCCTTCGTGTTTCAGCCGGAGCAGGAGCCGAGTAATCTGCTCCTGGCCGGAGTTAAAAAGAGAGATGTCTACTTAGCCTTACAACTTGAGTAAGGAACATGAACAGAGTACTTCTTCTAAATTGCGAGGCTCGACTATTTCAAAGACATTGGAGAAAACCTGTCGTCTTGGTGATAAAGACATATCCTTCCCCTCAGGGGAAAACAGTAACTCCCCACTCTACCCTACTGAAATCTACACCGCTTATGCGAGAAAATATTACCTAGACAAGTTGTATAGACCCTTCGAGAATTAATGTGGCTTGGGGAAGCTTTTTGCGTGGTGTATTTGTTTTGTATTAGCTGTGTTTCTGCTGTCGTCTGGTAGTATAAAAAAGAAGTTATTTTTGTGGAAGATTTGGTAAGTTGGACGATGAAGAGACGAATTTAATGTACAGTGAATTTTGCCTTTGTAGAAAAAGATTTGGTATTCAAAGCATCGTTCACCGAGGGAAGGGCGATAAAAATTAATGGATACTGAACAAAGCTATTAAAAGCGGTTATCTAGTAGCGGCATGGTGTGTTTTTCGCCTTAAATGCCATTCTAAAATGTACATCCTTCCCGTTTATGGAACGAGTACTGACGAATCACCCCTACCCGTATCTGTACCCGTGGCGAAAGTGTCTGCTTGTCTCCATGCGGCGTTTTCTCTGTATCATCTGGTGAAAAACAAAGCAGTTAATTTCTCGAATCTGACGGTTCAAACCTGCGGCGCAAATTCAAAAGGTATGCGGTGATAACTTTGCGCTTGACTGCCTCAACGCCGACTCAGAGAGAGCTCGTCTCAAGAAAGAGATGTGTTCGCGGGATTGCATGCTCCCGGCTCATAGGCGCTAAGTGCAAACGTTAGGCAAGAAAGTGGAAAACGCCTGTGCCAGAAACCCCATTTACACGCGCTAAAAAAATCGGTACGGCACGCCAAATTTTTGGGACCGTGATGACGATTTTAAGGCACGGCACTCCCAATTTTCGACGTGTATCCGTATCGGTCCCAAATGTAATGTGGTACCAGTGCTCAAAATTTTAAGGGTGCCGGGACTACCTCCCGGAGGTAGTCTCGGCACGGTGCCAAAAATTTGGCTAGCCGTGCCGATTGTTTTAGCGAGTGTAAATGGGCTTAGAGTCTGTCGTCTAACGTGTTATCGGACTTAAGCTTCCCTGATTGAAGCGGAAAAGCGATTTCCCTTTGATTTTTTTCGAATTAGCCGCTCTTTTGTTTCTACGAGTTTTCCTTGTCAGAGTCATTCTTGTGTTAATTTTTCCCTCGTGTTAGGCTGTCATGAAACAGGAACTGTAGCACTTATTGCACGAAAGCAGAGTAAAATTAATGGCTGTAGTTTCTTTACATTAATGAATAATTCATTATTATTTTTACCAAGTCGGCTTAATTAGTGAAGCCTGAATTAAGTGGATCATTGTAGTTTCAAAGGTGCCGTCACCTTAGCAGACATTTTAGACCCTAAAAAGCACTTTCGTTCTTTTGTCTTCTCCTGCTTTTCACTTCCTCTGAATTTAAGGGTGCTCTTCCGTTGTCTAAATCTTGTTTAGTGGAACTGTTCGTGGTAACATGGCATCTTTATGTTAGAAAATTAGACAGTCTAAGTGCAAGCAAGTTTTACTTGCGGGTTAATTTCATGCATTTTGTAAAATGTTCGTTGGATTTAACAGATATGTTGTAGTAAAGCAAACTGTCAAACCACCTGCCTTCCTTCTGACTGAAGACTTCGTAAGGCTTGTTACACCTTGTCTTTTTTTTTTGTCGTTGTACTTTTTCAGACAATTAGGTCACACGCCAACAACTTATAAAAAATCTCAATAATTCATGTGCTTTAAGTTGGTCTAAAACTAACAGTCTGGCAGACGTGTGTCATAACCATTAAAGGTAATTAGTGGTGATAATGACTCCTACTCTCGGTTGAAGATCGAAGAGAACGTCTCTGTCGTTAATTGAAAGCAAGTGCGCTTGCTAAGTTTCTCGGAACCCAGTGTTTTACCATTGTCTTACATTCTCGTCGCCAGTGCCCGTCGTTTTTTGGTCACGTGGTCTTTAGCCCAGTGTCTCAAGGGACGAAAATGAACGTTGTTCAGCTCGCGTGAATTTTGCCCTGCGTGGGCAGTCACCACAGAAAACATAGAGCTCAAAGATGTTATCAGGATACTTTGTTCATTGACTTAACTTTCGTGCAGTTCTGACTTGCGTGGCCGTCGCTGGAAATCGAGCGCGTCGGCTGGGCGTCGTAGGATCACAACCTTTGCGTGTTCTCGCATGCGCACATCCGCTTTTCCCCGTACCAGTTTTTCCCTTAATTCGAGTGACTGTCACACAGACTGCAATCTTGACAAAATAGTCATAAAAGCCAAATGAAAATATTAAACCCGATGTGATTCTTGAACATAACAGAAAATTAATAAAAATACATTTTGCGGTATTACTTAAGTCGACTGCAGGTATTACTGAGGTTTCTTCAGTTTGGCCACTGCACTGTTCTGGAAAATAGATTAGAAGTAGATCCCATCAGAGTTAAGTCTTCAAGTTCTATGATGATCATTTACATTTATTTCTTCATTCCGCTGTTCAAATATTGATAAAATTCATATATTTATCATTACGTTTTCCTTGATAAGTGTTATCAAGGACAACACTTGGTGTTGGCTCCGGCTAAAAGCGCTTATCACGTGCTTGATAAGTGCTTTATCTAGGTCTCAATAAGCGATATCTAGTTCAGCCTCCGGCTTCCGTCAATAATAAACTATCGTACACCTTGTTTTTGGTAACAGGTCATTTCCGAGATTCCGAGATTGGCAATTTAAAAGAAGGCCAAGGGCAATGGTCTTGGAAACGTTGGAGTTTGGATGAGAGAAAAAAACAAATATTTTCACATATGCCATTCGCTGGCCACCGGTAGATGTTTACAATATGAACCAGAGAAGTTCTTCTATCATGTATTAGGACATCCAGTCAACTCTTTAAACAAGCACCTTTGTGACAAGAACAAAGTTTCCATCCCCCTAAAGAAGAAAGTGAAAGAAAGCGCCTGACAACGTTTCTTGTTTAATTTATTATTGTCATAGACAGGTCTCCAACCTCGTCCCCAGGCTTTCGCCTGGTGAGGGACGGGCCGTGGGAGTCTTGGGCGGGACTGACAAATCCTGCGCGCGCAACCAAGTGATAACGTCCTTAAACAGTTCCATAATGCCTTTTGAGTCTTTCGACACAGCATTGACCAAGTCCAACGAAGAAACGAAACAAATGACCAATGGTTCACGAAATTTCACGCCCAGAATTGACACGTGTTCGATCTTTCTAAAATTGTTATGCAATTCTGTTAATCCGGATATTGTTCTTTGCTTTAACAGCGGCTGGTTTAAGTCCTGTGATTTAGCTAATACGATTTAAAGGAACCTAATCAAAGAATAACAATGCTGAAAAGTAAACCGCCTCTTTTATTAAGGATTGAGCGCTTTCAAGCTCATAGCTTAAACCGCGAACAGTATACTTTTATAGCTTACTTATAATGAACTCTTTAGCCATGTTTTATCCTGTGTGCTATAAACAAATACGGATGCTCTGTAAACGTGCTATCGGATACTGTATTTCAGAAGAATGGTTTCACCTTGACACTGAGAATTAAAACAAGAACAACATGCTTATCGATCTTATAAAATATGGCAAACTTGCGTAAAACATGGTTATTTGTTTTTGTTTTTAAAACCTGTATGACTACCACCAACACCCACACAAGACTAATGGAGAAAATGCTCATTCACAGAAAACATGCATTCAAAGCTAAAACATCATTTTTCTTGGAAATGTTGCGTTTATTCTGAAACACACGTTTACTTACGAAGTAAGTACTCTAATTTTGCCATCTTTAGATTTGTGTACTGTCAAAGATTGAGAACGATGGCTCCTTGCACGATTACTTGGACGTGTGTGGAATTTCGAAC